GTGTGTGCTCCTGCTCCTGCGGCGCCCCCAGAGGCGCCTGTGTCTCCGGTTCCTGTGGCGCCGGCAGCAACCCTCCAGGTTCCTGTGGCGCCGGCAGCGCCCCGCAAGGTTCCTGTGCCTCCTGCTCCAGCTGTACTGTCCCCTGTTGGCCTGGAGTGGGCGCACCCTGCCCAGTCCCTTGTGCAGCCCCCTCAGCTCCCCGTGACTCCAGTGCTCCCCGTGACTCCAGTGCCTGAGCTCCCAGCTCAGTCCCCTGCTGCTGCTGCTACGGTGCCCGTGGCCCCTGCTCAGCCCCCAGTGGTCCCGGAGGTCCCCGTACTGCCCCCTGTTGGCCCGGAGCCCGTGGCGCCTGCAGCGCCCCCCCAGGTTCCCGTGGCACCTGCAGCGCCCCCGCAGGTCCCTGCTTTCACCCCTGTTCCTGTGCCTCCTGCTTCGGCGGCTCTGCCCCCTGTGTCTCCGGCTGCAGCAGTGCCCCCTGTTGACCTGGAGCCTGTGGCGCCTGCAGCGCCCCCCGAGGCTCCTGTGGCGCCTGCGGCGTCCCCCGAGGCCCCCGCAGTGGCCCCCGCGGCGTCCCCGCAGCATCCCCCGCGGCGTCCCCCGAGGCCCCCGCAGTGTCCCCCGCGGCGTCCCCCGAGGCCCCCGCAGTGTCCCCCGCGGCATCCCCCGTGGCTCCAGCGGCTCCTGCAGTGTCTCCAGCGGCTCCTGCAGTGTCCCCCGCGGCTCCAGCGGCTCCTGCAGTGTCCCCCGCGGCTCCAGCGGCTCCTGCAGTGTCCCCCGCGGCTCCTGCTCGGGCGCCCAGGGCCCCCTCACCCGTGGCTCCTGCTCTGGCGCCCCCTTCTGAGGAGCTGGCTCCGCTCGACGTCCCGGCCCTGACTCCGCCCGCGCCCGACGTCCTGGCCCTGGCTCCGCCCGCACCACACCCGTCGGCTCCAGACTCCCCGACCCCGACGGCCGGCGTGCTTACCCAGGAAGGTCCAGACGTCCTGGCCCTGGAGGCCGAAGCATCGCCCCATGCGACCTCAGTCTCCCCGGTCCCTGCTCCCTCGGCCTCAGTCTCCCTGGTCCCTGCTCCCTCGGCCTCAGAGCCCCCGGTCCCTGCTCCCTCGGCCTCATTCCCCGAGGTGGTCCCTGACGACCTAAACCCCGCTCCTTCCTCCACAATGGAGTTGGAGGAGGAGCTGGAGTGGGACCCCTCGGGGATCACCCTGACCCTGCCTGTGGACCCCCCCAGGGGGTCACCCCAACCACCTGCACCTCTTCGAGGTGGTTCACAGCCGGGTTCCCGCTTCTTGGTCTCCCGGAAAGGGAGGGGACATCGAAGGCGGGGTTGACTCCCTGGTGCCCCTTCACACCCCCAGGTCCCATCTCGGCGGTTGGCCCCGGTCTCACCCAGGGCTCCAGGGCAGCTGACCATGGCCCGACCGCCGTCTTCCCCTCGACGGCCTGCGGGTCCTTCGCCCGCGGCTCTCCCCACGGCTCCCTCCTTGCCACCTCCACCAGCCCCTTTACCTACATCCTCGCCACCCTCAGTCCCTGTTCCGGTCTCGCAGAGACCTGCTTCCCCAGCGTGCCCTACTTCTCTTTCCCCGAAGGTTCCCCCTGCTCCACGTTGCCCCTTGCCCTTACATCCCTTGGCCCCTGTGTTCAATCCCTGTCCTGTGCCATCGTCGTTCCCTTCTGGTTCCTTTGTGCCCTCCATGTTTGCTCCTCGTCCTTCCGTGCCATTGCTCCCCTCTGGTCCCTTTGGGCCCTCCATGTTTCCCCTTCGTCCCTCATTGCCTTCGTCTTTGGTTGGTCCCTTTGTGCCCCCTGTGGTTCCCCCTCGTCCCTCGGTGTCTTCTAGTTCCTTTGTGGCCCCCACATGTTCTCCTCGTCCTTCTGTGCCTTTGTCCCCTTTCGGTTCCTTTGTGTGTCCTTCTCGTCCATTTGTGCCCATGCCCCCTGTTCGTCCCTGTGTGCCCCCTGGTGTGGTCCCTCCATTGTCCCCTTTAGTGTCCCCGGGTCCCATGTTTTCGTCGTTGGTGTCTTTGTGTTTGTCTGCGTTCCCCGTGGTTTGTGGCTTATTGTTTGAGTTGTCCACCTTGTGCCAGTTCTGTGTGTCCATACTGTTCCCTGTGCCCCATTGAGGTTGTTGTTCTTTTTGTCTTCCCAGGTACCGTCGTGTCCCCGGTCTCCGTCGCTCTGCTCCCCTTAGGCGCGCCCAGAGTGCGCGCCTTTGGGGGGGGGTCCTGTCATGCCCCGATCGTCCGCTCCTCTCATGTGCCACGCCCCCTCGTTAACCTCATGTGGATTCCCCGTGTTTATCAGCTGTTTCTGGTTACTGTCATTAGTGCAATGTATTTAGTCCGCGTTTCAGTTTGTTTCCCCAGTCCGGTCATTGTAATGTAACCCCGTGTTTTACCTGTCCTTATCGTTGCTGTTCCAATTAAAACCCCTAGTTCACTCCAAATTCCGGCTTCCTGAGCTTCTGTTCTCCATGCGCCGTGAGGCGGAACAGAATATATGGAGGGGTGATTGTAATACAGGAAACAACAGCACTTCCAGTGTTCATCCCTGGTACTAATGTCAGGGCGGGGGTTGCGGAAAATAAGGACGCTATAGCGCAGGGGTGGCCAATCTTATCTGCAAAGGGCCGGTGTGTATGCGGGTTTTTGCTGCAACTCCTTAATTAGATTATTAATTAGAGGACTGATTGGCTGAAGAGTCCTCACACCTGGGTTTGAACAGCTGACCTACAGGTTATCCCAAAAACCTGCATACACACCGGCCCTTTGTGGATATGATTGGCTACCCCTGCTATAGCGGATCAGTCCAGGGAAAAAAAAGATTTATTATCTTCTCCATTAACAAGGGGAGAGAGAGAGCAGCAGGACAGAAACGAAAATCCAAAATTCGAGGTAGATAGAACAGGCAGTGGTCGGGTGATTGGCGTCGGGATCCAGGGAAACAGGTAGAGCTTGGAATACGGGGGCAGGCAGGCGGTCAGGCGATCGGCGTCGGGATCCAGGGGAACAGGCAGGGTTCAGAATCCGGGGACAGGCAGGGGGTCAGGTGATCGGCGTCGGCAGTGAGAGGGCTTGGCTAATAATCAAAGGTCGTAAAAGGCAGAACAGAGGTCAGGGGAACAGGCAGGCAGATGTGCAGACAGGCAGGGAATAAACGTTCGAACTTAGCACGGAAGGCATGCCAGGCACGCCAGCCAGACGTGAATAAAAAGGCTCTCCAATTACCCATGACAGGCATCAGCTGGTAGAGGAGCGCATACAGTAACCAGTCCTGCCGGTTCTCGGGACCGGTGTAGTAGAAGCGCTCCGGCCGCTGCTCGACTCCCTCCTAGGGAAACCCCGGGGGGCGTGGCAGGGGAGCCCCGCATGACGTCATAAGGGCTTCCCTTGGGCGATCCATGACAACTAAGGTAAGAGGAATTTGCAAAGTGTAGTGTGAGCCTCTGTATTTTTATGTACTCACATCTGTTGCAGGTAATAAACATAAAGGTGTTAGATCTATTTACAAAACACTTAGCAGTGCCATTGAGCAAATCCCCAATATTTTCTACGGTCAGAATACGAATAAAGGATTTTTCATGTGTTTGCACATGAAATATAGTAAATAATAAAGAATAAATAATACAATATTCTGAATTACTTGAAATTATAGTCTTTAAGGCAGAATGGTGGTGCAGTGGTTAGCACCCAAGATAAATTACTGCAAATTGTATATTAAATTGTGCTGAAATTTGTAATGCACTGTACAAAGGTTAAATTTACATCAAATTGTTCTGCTTTCCAGTGGTGTCACAGCACGTGCGGGTGAGCGGGGAAGCAGGCGAGTTGAGCCGTGAATATGGGTAGAAAAGGGGTTTATTTGTCGGGAAACAAACACCATGGCAGACAACATCAATGACAGATCTGGGCAATACTGACTCAGAGGCGCGCGCCTCAGGGGAGGCGATGGACGAGACGAGGGACATGGGACCCGAAAAACAAGACCAAAAACATCAACGAGGGACCGGGAACAGGACGGAAACACAGAACAGGCACAGGGGCAACAGCCAAAACAACAACCGACACAGAACAGGGAAAGCAGACAGGCAGACAAGGAAAGGAACAAGGAACAGAAAACAGGGGAACAAAAATGAGGAGGGAGCAGGAGGGGACACTGGCACAGGCAAGCAGGAGGGGGAAGCCGCGGCAGGCGATGGCGCAGTCGCTCCGACTGGGAAGGCGCCGTCTGACTCCAAGCCGAAGCAGGGGGACTTTGAGGCGGCTGACGAGGCGTCGTTGGAGGGACCACAGGTGGGCGACGAGGTACCGGAGGGGTACCCGGAGGCGACAGCCGAGCAGGAGCCGCAGGACCTGCAGGCAGCCACTGAGCCACAGTTAGGGGACCATTGGCGAGCCAGGGGCAGGGCGGGCGGAACCCGGTCCCTGCGCTTATGTCCTCTCCCTTTTCGGGACCCGAGTCCCTGGGACCCGGTAGGTAGATCCCCGAGGGGTCCCATTAGAGCTCCTCCTTCTCCTCTACTAAGGGAGGAGGAGCGATGGTAATACAGTCCACAGGATTGTAAGCAGGATGGACGGGGCTGGCGTAGGAGCCTCGGGCGCAGCCAGAAGCGGGGCTGGTGCAGGGAGCCCCAGGCGTAGCTGCAGGTGGAGGCGGCGCTGTAGGCGGCGGCAGGACCTCAGGTGTAGCGGCAGGCGGAGCAGCAGGCACCGCCGACACTCGGCCAGCAGGGGGCGCTGCAGCAGACACCGCCGACACTCGGCCAGAAGGGGGCGCTGCAGCAGGCACCGCCGACACTCGGCCAGCAGGGGGCGCTGACCAGACGGACAGGATGTGCCTACTTGTTATTCATAAACATGCAAGTAATTCAAACAAGTATGGTACGAGAAACTCACCCGCGCTGACATTGGCCGCCCCCTCCCCCGATAAAAGTGTCCCCAATCATCGCAGCAATCATTGCTCAAAGGGTGTGAGACTGGGATTCTGCCTGTGCTGTTAAGACTCTTACGGTGAGCGGCCGCCCGTTTTTTCACGTTGATTTTAATCTCCGACCACTTCTTTTTCATTTCGGCCACCGTGCGAATTTCGGAACCAACACTTTTAACTGACCCTGCCACGCTGTGCCACTCTGTCAACTTTCGTTGCTGATGCCACTACTTAAACCACCAAATAATGTCACTTTTCTTTTCTCGATTTCTGTTAACATGACCTCCACTTCACATTCGCTGAAATACTTCTTTATCCCACGTGGTTTATCCAATGTTGGTTAAGAAAAATATAGAACAAAGCATGTATTTATACAGATTTACATATGCAAATATACATAATTATGGGCGGGTCGGGGGGGTGGCTGTGGGCTCGTTCACGTACATAAAATTTCATGCTCATTCGGATTTATAAAGGGAATGTGCGTAGATCTGTGCTTACACACAGCTTTATCCATCTGGATTTTTTTCTTGCTTTCACACGTTCCTAGTTTTGTCCGTATGCCATATTTTAGTGTGAATTCTACGCACGTCGTTATACATGAGGCCCCTGGTCCTTCACCACGACTCTAAGGGAGCATATAGTGGTAGAATTTGGATACACTTGGTCTGGATTACTTAGAGGAAAGGTTACAAAGAATCATATATAACTAATACATTCATTTCCAGTGTACATCATTAGGGTGGTTAGTAATTCTGAATATTCCATTGTTCAAACAAATCTTGTGCATATGCTTGGCAGGCTACATCACACTCGGAGTTGCATATGATTTAAGAGCGCTTTGCTAAGTGCTTAAGAGTGTTTGTGCTTCGGACTTTACTGCTTTAATGAAGTTCTCATTGTTATTGGTGATATGTTGGAAACTGGTGGCTATTTGATTAGCCAACCATGCTGTATACTGGGATTGTCCCATTATTCTATAGCTATTTGCAGTAGAATTTCCTGATTAAAAAATCCAGTTATGCCTGCGAATAAGTCGTGTTTGGCCGCCTAGGTGACACTTAGATCGTAAGCTCTTGTAATCAGAGATCAGATCCTCGAGGCATGTCTGTAACCAGGTATACGTTTTATCCTTAGCATTACAATGTTTTAAATATGCGGGCAACAGGTAGGAGATATATTATACATTACATGTACCATCACTTATGCTAACATCGTGTAATATAGTTTTATTCACATTTCCTTTGATGAGTCCTCCAGAAGGAGCAGAATATACCTTAGCACACTGAGTAGGCTTATGGTATCCGCATGTGGTGAGGTTGAAACACAGTCCATGAACAGTTCTGGGGGCTGGTGTAGTTGGTCATACTGATCTTGCATTGTCCAACACAGTATGTCCCCTCTCTCTCCGGCTTGTCATATGAATGCCTTGGATCTGTTGTTGCTCTATGCGGGGGAGGTTTGATTGAAGAATAGCCCTGTATATCACATGCTAGTGGTGTTATGGGTTTCTGAGTGGGTGCACTGGTACATTGCAGGTTCTAGGTCCCGAGTGTTGTAACACTTTCTCGGATCTAGGCCATTGTTTCTCTGTTTATGTATGGCATATAATTTTCCGTGGATTACGTCTGGGACGTTCTTGAGTTTATACCAGGCTGTGAGATTGTGAAACTCTGATGGAAGATGTATGTGTCCGGTTATATTACAATAGGGAAGATGGGTGGATCCTGTCTTAAAACAAATCCGTGTGGCACAATTTGGTTCCGGAGCTACTCCGGGGGGCCATATAACTGTTTCCTTTAATGGTGTCTCATGAGATGTGTATGGCCCCTTACAGTGTCTCCACCCCCATCTTCCGCATTCTAAGTTCAGTTCTCTCTTTGCCTCTGGTTAGACACCTCTCGCATTACCTGTCCTGTTTAATGAGTGCCCTGATCGGATTCAATTTGCCTTAGTGCCCCCATACTGGGATGATTTGGTTCGCTAACAATCGTGCCACTGTGTTTGGAGTATTGTTGCATGTGGGAATGGCTTCAACCCACTTTGAGAACTTCTCAATTATTATGCAGCAATACCGAC